ATCTTAACCCTATTCCTAGACCCAACTTCAGTGGTCCAAAGACCTTCCCTTGAACCTCACCTATAAAAAAAAAAAAAAAAAAAAAAAAAAAAACCAAAAAAAAACAAAAAAAAACCCCCTTCCTTTCAGCCACATGAAGCCACCTTTGGGACCAAAGTGGAGGTGGGACTTTCGGTGATAGTGGTAGGAATCATTTTTAAATCCTAGCAGATGAAAATGAAGGGACTTGGAGTCAAAAGAAGAAATCAGGTCATGATTTCAGAGAAAAGAAAACCATCACATCACCGATTAATCACAAAAGGGTGGGTTGTTTGTATGTGTGTGTAGACAGATTGGGATTTGGGATGGTCTGCAGGGTAGGCATGTGATGGTCAGCTGAGTTGGAAGGATGCCCCAGCCTTCATGTTTGTGGACATGACCCAAGCTTCCTCCCTCCCAAGCAGACAACTCTGGCTAATTAGCAAATCAAAAGAAACAGAAACAGTCTTAGACCCCAGCACAATCGAATTAGTGGAGTGATTTGAGAATGTCATTTCATAGTGTAATCATGCTCTCTTTGTTGTGGTCAAAAGGAGTGAAAATTATCCTGCAACCCCAAAGTGTTCCCTGTAACCAACTGGCTCAAAGGATGGCTTCATTTCCTATCAGCTCTCTTCAGTTTTAGATGATGGCTTTTGATGAAGACAGGAATGCACAATGCACAATTAGGCAATATCCATCAAGCCTCCCCTACGAGGAGGACCTTTTAAAAATACATTTGACTTTTAAGGTGATTCAGCACAGAGAGCCATTAGCACACCATCTAAATCAGGACCTGGAAAGTTTATTAAAATTGGATTTTTAACCTGATCCCAATTTCTACTGCTTGTAAAGAATCCCACTGGACTCCTTAAAATTCAGGCTATTAACCTGAAAGACTCAAACATCCATTATAAGAGGAGAGGATATAGGGCAGCCCTGAAGGTAGGGATTGTAGGTAAGATTCCTGAGTGTGGTCAGGTAGTGAGTGTGACCCCTCCAAGTCCTCAGAAGAGGCAGGGTCCCTCTGCCCCTCCTCTCCCAGCTTCCTCCCCTCCTTACCTCCTCACCCATCACATATTTGAAAGACAGGGAAAGTATACTCACAACAAGAAACATAAGCAAATCATTCGGTTGTTGAGAGCCCTGGACTATGAGTGTAGTTTTAACTAAAAGGGGAGTGGCCTAGATTACTGCTTTACCTGATGCACTGACTCTCAATTGCAAAGTAGGGAAGGGTTGATGATCCCTGAAAATGGTTAGGAAAAACTTACTAGTATGTCACGGTAAACAGGTTACCAGGTTCCTTTCTGCGCAAACTAAGTTATCCCACTAGTAAAGTGAAAAACTTTTTATTTCTAATCAGGGGGCCATACAAACAGCAGATGCATAAGGGAAGAGGGCTTGGAAAGTAAATGTGTGCCTGCAAGTCTAAGGATCTGAGTTTGGATTCCCAGTGCATCTGTGACTCCAGGGCTGAAGGGTAATAGGGGAAAAGCAGAGCCTTTGGGTGGTGGTGGTGGTGGGGTAGGGTGGGTAGACACTAGCCAGACAGCACAGGGAAGTGGTAATTTCCAGGTTTCATGAGAGAGCCTGTCTCAAAAAATAAGGTGTCAAGATCTAGACAAGGCATCCAATCCAATCAACCTTTGGCCTCTGTATATACTACAACATGTATACCTACATATCAAACACACACACACACACACACACACACACACAGAGCATTTGCAGTGTACATAATTCATTTTTCCCAGCACCTGGCTCAAGTCTTGGCTCTATCTTAAACACTATTATTGCAGATTGTTGATCAAAGTCTTAGGTCACCAGCTTTTTTATTTCCTTCTCACGGCTTTAGCTTTGATCTGGGGACAGAGTTTATAGTTTAGCCAGGATGAATGAGTCTCTACAAAGGTAACTTGTACTTATAAGCCTTACTGTTCCGTGAGCCAGTGACATCTTAATATTCCTTTTCTCTTTCATATCAAGAATCTAGAAACTGTTATAATACCTCCAATTCTAGTGGTGAAGAAACCATCTGCAATACACTCCAATTTGCTAGTTGGTGGGACTGACTTGTGTTATAGAACCATGAGTGATTGGTTACTAACATGTCTCTTATGCACCTCAATTCTCACATCCAAACTTGTCTGGACCAAATCAAACCATCTTTAAAATGACAAATATATAAACTTAAAAATTATTTTCAGTTTCCATATTAGGTGTGTGTGTGTGCTCATATGTTCACACTTGTGTGTGAAGCAGGGCCTGTCAGGTTAGGAGAGGGTGTTGGATGCACCGGAACTGAAGTTCCAGGTAATGTGAGCCCTCTGTCCTAGGAACAGAACTTTGATCCTCTGCTGGACAATGCTGGCTTTTAACCAGTAAGCCATATCTCTAGCCCCTACAGATTCATACTATGTTATTGTTTGTGTGTTTGTTGTGGGTTTTGTTGATGTTGTTATTTGGGGTTTTGTTTGTTACTCTTTCTGGTTTTTTTGTTTGTTTGTTTTTTATTTCACTCTTAGGTTATATGTCTGACCACCTACAAAAGGCTGGTAAGTGATAAAATTGCATCATGGATGCTCATGCCCAAGACCCTTCTAATCTACTGGAAAAGACAGATGCAAAAGCAGATCTGTTAAATTCAATATGGGGGTGACGCAATAAAGCTGAGAACTACACCGAGTGAGCAGAAGCCAGGCCCAGAAAACATCTGGAAAGAGCTCCGAGTCTAAGCACACACAGCCAAAGAACAGCACAAAAGCCCATTGAGGCTTTTATTTACCTATGTCTAAGAACATTGATTATTGATCAGGAAGTGCTTGAGGAAACTGAGGTGTGGTGACAGCTGTAAAGCCTGGGCTCCAATTCTGATCACTTTCGGACATGCCTAGAGTCACTTCCACAAAGCAAGGTGACTAACAGAGACTCTGAGCCCAGGGCTGGGATTTTAGTTTCTTTTGAGGTTTTGTAGTAGGTAATTAAGAAAGCTGGTTAATTGACCTCTGACTTCCAGGGTGTGAATAGAAGAATCCTTGCTAATCTCCCTTTGTGTCTCATGGATGACTTGTGGAATTCATCTTGTGTGGGGGGGGGCATTAAAACACTTTGGATTCATAGGAAACAAAACAAAACAAAACCTTAACCATTACAATACAAGGAGGGGCATCACCACCCCTCCCTGTATTGAAGGACTCCTGATGGGGCTGGGCATCTGGTGGCCGCTTAAGAAGACCATAATTGACAATAGGCCACCCTTTAATTAGCTCTCCATTTGTCCAAGAGAATTTTACACAACTTCATAGAAAGGGAGAAAAATCTAAGGTAAACTTTACATGCTAAGACTTTTCAAGATGCAATTGTTTTTTCTTTTCTTTCTTTCTTTCTTTGTTTTTGTTTTTCGAGACAGGGTTTCTCTGTATTTCCTTGGAGTCTGTCCTGGAACTAGATCTGTAGACCAGGCTGGCCTTGAACTCACAGAGATCGGCGTGCCTCTGCCTCCCCAGCGCTGGGATTAAAGGCATGCACCACCAATTTAAAGTGACTTTTGTAAATGCACAAAAAAAAAAAAAAGAAAAGAAAAGAAAAGAAAGAGAAAGAAAGAAAGAAAAGAAAAGAAGAGAAAGAGAAAGAAAGAAAGAAAGAAAGAAAGAAAAGAAAAGAAAAGAAAACCCAAACCTGAAATGGCCAACTTTACATTTACTCAAAGGTGAAATGGTCAAAGGTTTCTAAGATGCTTCTTGCCTCATCTGCCACAGTACACTGTACTGGACATTCCTTGGCCTTCTAAAAGGACTAAGGCTAACCTTTGCACCATTTAAGTGGTCAATTTCCCAAAGGAATTTCTCCCCGTAAATGAGCGAATATGGATTCTAGAAATGTAAATGATAAATATTTATGTTCTCATTTTTTTAAAGATATGGAAGATACTAAAAGCTAGAGAAAGCTGTTTTGATTTGTATTTGGCTCCTTCTTTCTTTTTCCTTTCACCCCCCCCCCCCCCCCACACACACACTAGGCCTGCCTCTTCTTTTGGTTGCCTGCTTCAGAAGAGGACTTGTTTGGGCTGAAGCAGCTCAGTGTCTCCAAGGAGATTCCAGCTCCGCTGCCCTCCACTTCTTAAACTGAATCACAATATGCAGGTTGGCTTCCACACAAAACCTTTCAGCTTTGGAACGCAGGAAGACCTTGATTAGTTCCGGAGGTGAAATTTGCCAACCTAGTTATTTTTGCTAAAGGGGAGCTGAATCCTCCGTGTTCGCCTAGTTAAGTTTCAGTCCTCTTTGGAGGGCGAAACTGAAAGCGAGAGAGAGTGCGTTTCATGGAGACAAGGCATACTAGCTCTTCAAGCAGCTCCTGTCCCTGCTGCAGCGGCGCAAGATGGAGCAAAGGGCCCCGGAGGCCTCCGGGTCCCCACACCGCACTCCTGTGTAGGAGCCTAAAGCGGATCACCTGCCGGTAGGGAACGCTGATGCGAACACATGTGGGTACTGCGAGGATGTTGGGGGATCACGCGGAGTTTACGAAAGGGGTAACGGAGGATTGGGCCCCATTCAAACACAGAGGGTGTCAGTGAGCGCTCTGGGAGCCCAAGGGTTTGCCAGGTTGATGAAGTCACCCAAGCCACACGCCCCACCCTCCAGGTTGAGCTGGTCTCTCCTCCTAGACTGTAATCCGAGGAGCCACTGCACGGGATGAGCAGAGGAGCCGCCTCCTTCGGGAAGCAGAGAAGCGCAGAAGCCAGGTGCTAAGCTGGGTCGCTGGAAGTCGCCTCGCAGGGACGCTCTGGGAGGCGGGACTCGGGGCAGCACCGGAGCCAACGCGGCAGCAGTGGGCGCTCGCGATCCTCTCCTGCCCTCCGCGCTTTCCCGGAGCATCGGCCTCCGCTGTCCCCTCCTCCGGCTTCTGCTCCTCCTCCTGCTCCTCCCATCCTGGGATCTGGCACCAAAAAGCCTGTCTGCAAGGTCCTCTGCGCGCTGCAGCCACGAGCTGCCACCACCGCCGGGTCTCTCTCGGTGAGTGACAGTGTCGCTTCTTCGCTCGCCGGCCCCGAGGTGACTGGGGATTTGCTCCAAGTGGCTCAAGTGCTCGAAGGCGGTGCTGCCCATGGCCGAGCCGGAGAGAAGACTCAGGGCGCCTGACCGGCTGGACAGGTACACGTCTCAGGTGAGCTCTGTGCGCCGGGGGTAAAGGTGTCAGGCTGGGGAGTGGCCGGTGAGGGCTTCCTAGGCTCTTTCTTCTGGTGTCCCTATTTTGAACAAGTGCAAAACCTAAGGTGAGTGCAGGCTGAAGCTGTTAGACTGAAGAGTACACTGAAGGAAGACTCGGGGGTTTCTAATCCTCCTGTCCCCTGCCCTGGAAGCTCATCTCTAAAATTCACAAGATAGACTATAAGGGTCCCGAGTTTCTGACTCTTACAAAACTGGACTTATGTCTCTACCGGACTCAGGAGAGTCATCATCGGCTGCCGGCTGCTCAGCGTCGCGGATTCTCTCTAGGACCCTGTTCGAGTGCAGCTGGAGCGCAGAGCTTGCCGAGCAGGGTACCACTTGGGGCGGAGAACTGGGCTGGGGGGACCGCTGACTGGAGTTACTCCGGAATGGGGCGTCTGGGATGTGCAAGCCTCGGTCTAGTGTGCCTTTACGTTCAGTAATGCGGAGACCGAGCATCTTCTGGGGTACTCCAAAAGTAAGGCGGCAGGCAGGACCGGCAGGCAGGACCGTAAGTATTAAGAAATCCAGTTACAAACCGCTGTTGAATTTTCATGTTACTTTTTACTACCCCCCCCCCCAACCTGGATTTCTATTTCGGGTACTGCCGATAGAGGAGGTGAATGGGGCATGGTAAGGGATGTCGGGACACGAACCAGGGGAGACTGTGTTTAGAACAAGCAGGGTTTACTCATAGCCCGACCTCTTCAGGGGCGCCCCACACACCCACCCGCCTTTGCAGCAGTGTGCTTTTCCCATCTGGAACCAGCCTTTCCTTAGAACTGGAGGGTCAGCTCTCAGAACCTAGGGCTCAAGCCAGTGGTGGAATGGAGAAATCATCCCTGAAAGCCAGATGCGGTCCAGGGACTGGTCAGTAGTGCCAGACTCAGCAACTATTTTTGTAGGTGCTTCAGATTATGTATGGCACAGCCTAAGCTAAGGAGGCACCCTATCTTATTTTCACATGCAGGGCTCTCCTCCGGACTAGGTTCTTTCTCTCTAACCCCCACTATGCAGAAGCCGTGGTATCCTTGCCTGGCCTTGCCTTGCCTTGCTTTGCCTTGCCTTGCGCGAGAGACTTACTCCTCCTCTTCCCTCCACGTTATGTTATCCTGGGCTATTTTTATCTAAACTGTGCTAAAATGCTTTGGGGGGATCCCAAGGAGGCAACTCTGGAGCCGCGGTCTTGAAACTGCTCTTCCAGTAGCAGCCTCTTGTTAGCCAGGACCTAAGGTGAGGGAGGAGAGAAAAGAGTGGACTAGGGAGAAAGGGAGAAAGCCCCCCTCCCCCCCCCCGGGGTTCAGACTAAGTTCACCGTTCTCAGGACAGCTCCACCAGCACCCAAGACTGACACCCCAGACACCACCCACACCCCTGGGGAGCAGGTCCCCAGCACAGTCCACTTGTGTCCCAGCCTTGAGTATTTGACCAGCTGCTGGATGAAGAGCAAGGTTCTATGGTCTCAGCTTTGCTCTCCAATCTCAGTGTATTTGTTGAAATCCAATTACCAGCTTCCACCCAGGAGTTAATTCCAGGAACTCTATATTTAACTCTAGTTTTTAATGACAGGAGATGGAGATAGCTCAAGTTCTGCACCCCTACCCCAGCATTTCTAAAGTACTGATTCTGTCCGACGCTGGGGGTTAGTCTTGCTTCCTACTTTCCCAGCCACAGTGAATACAGTTAGAATTAACTGGACCTTCCAAAATTCCAGATGAATGCCTAAGCTTCAAATTGCTGCGCTGTTCTTTTTTATTTCCAGCATGCTTAGACTTTTCTACTCACAGAACTGGAAAAAATAACGTTGAAATGGACCCTTGTGTTATGCAAGGTAACCGCCCACCCCACAACACCAACCCCCTCCACAGCCAGGAGAAGGTGAACTTTTCAAAGAGCCTGGTTGGCGTCAGTTGCCCATCTAACTCTTGTTCGACAGGGATGGACAGCTTCCTGACTAAGCACTCTAAAGTCTCTGCAGTTAATTAGCCAGCAGCCTGAGAAGATGTCTTGGTGAGCAAGGCTGAGCTATGCATGCTTCTGGGTTTCATTTCCTCTGCCAAGCTCCTGCTTCTTGCGATTCACCTTGGCTTTAAGATGGGAAGTTTTGAACAGGGAGCGTGGTGAGAAAGTGATGCTGTGGTCTTGCAAATGGGAATTTTGGACACATCGAGGGAGTGCCCTTCTGCTGGTGTGGGAGCAGAAGTTTTATCCCCTCAACAGATTCTTGCCTTCCTATACCTTGTTAAGCAGACTGAGCTTTGCTTTACTCAAACTCCTTTATATAGCTGAGACTTGTGTTTTCATCCTCAAAAGAATTTCTCTGCCTTGAAAAAAAAAAAAATCCCAGGGACTCTCTGAAGGGAAAAGCTTCATGGGAGCTTTTCTTTTCTTACGTTAAAATTCAGTGGTGATTTGAAAGCAGCTGGGAATGGATTGGCTGGTATGTGTTGTTTATTGAGCTCTGCCTTTCCTAGACCAAGCACACACCCTGGGTGGCACACAGAAACCAGCAGGACTGAGACGGGGTCTCTCCTAGGTCATTAGATTTGGAGGCAAGGGCAGTGAAACATGTGGATGCTTTAATGGTTTTCAAGGTGTGTGCCTGTCACGAGTGTCTAAATACCAGTTCCAGGGCCCAGAGCTAGGAAGTGTAACACTTTGCTGGCTGCTTTGTGGCAAGTGTACTGGCTTCCTAGATGTTGCAGAAGGTAGGGACTTTGCAACTGAGATTAGAAAAGAACACTGCTGTTCTACAGTCCTCAGCCCAGGCATGGAGCCCTCTGCTTTTCTGCTCAGACTGCCTTTCTGGAAAGAGAAAGTAAGAGACTACAGGATGGGGTGAAGCCAACTTCTGGCCCCATGACCTTAGGCCGATTCTGTTTGCTCTCTAAACCTCACAGTCTTCCCTGTAGATTAGTGACTGGAGGACGATTACGAGGAAGTAACAAAACACACACAAAAACACTTGAGAAAAATTTGTTTATTTGATTTGCCTTTCTGGCATTGATATTTTATATATACTTCATGTTAATTGTAATTGGGGGTATGCCTGAGTTCACCGCTTGCACAAAACATTAAATGAGGGCAGATTTAAATAAGTTTCGTCTTAGGAGCATTCTACATGAATTACATCAGCACTGAGCCCCACTGTTTCCAAAAATTATAATTTTAATTTTCAGGATCAGCATTCAGTTTTAGAGTTGTTTTTCTTCTTCATCTTTCTTGAGACAGTCATATATCCTGGGATGACCTCAAACTTGCTATGTAGCCTGAGATGACCTTGAACATCACCTGGCCCCCTCGCTCCTCGTTCATGTGCTGGGGTTGTAGACATGAACTATAGCTTCCAGTCACTGTGGTGTTGGGCTTCAAACCAGTGTGCTAGTCAACAACTCTACCAGATGACCTACCTCCCTTGTCCTTTAAAGGAATTTGTTGTTGTTGTTGTTATTGTTGTAGTTTTGCTTTTAAACTCACTATGTACATGTGTCTTTGGAGATATATTTGGAGGGAGGGACTTAAAATTGTTTAATCAAAAGCAGAGAAAAATTAAAGAACAATGACTCAACTAGAGAGAGTGAGGCATGAGCAGTTTTGTGGGTCTCCCTTGTCTAACTTGGTCATCTGTACAGAGTGCTTGCTTTTCTTTCTTTTTCATTTTTTTTTTCCTTCCAGAATTTGTCCCCAGAGCCTAGTTCAGTACCAAGCACTTAATAGGCAGTCCATAAATGTGTTTAGAAAAGTGAATGAATGATTGAACGGAATATTCGCAGCTATTCAGGAGAGCAGATGGCATCATTTCTATTTTAACAATTGAGAATCTGTAGATCAGGAGATGCTGTCAATTTTCTAAAGGTACAGAGGATTCCAGAATGGAATTCAGATCTGTGTGTTCTCATTATGGTCTGGTCTTCAGTACTGTTTTGGGTACCTCTCCCTTTATCACCACTTAAAGCCCTACTATGTGGCCAGAAGGTACCCAGCAACCAAATTTATCATCTTCTATAGAGATGCTCCCAGCTGGAGGTGGAGTTTCTTTTCCTAGTTTGTACCTTGTAGCCCTGAACTAAGGCTGAGTTAAACAATCCCCCCAGGGGATTGGAATCTGGAGGGAGATGCTTCAGGATACAGGAACTGCTGAGTGTTTATCACCCACTTGGGTCCTGGATCCAGTGGCTGGCGTCAGCAGCAGCAGCCTCCAAGTCTCAAGATGTACTTACTCCCAGTGGAACCATTCCTGGGGCACCATCTTCACAAGATCCCCGAAGTCTGTTTTCCTTCATTTCTTCTCATTTTCCAATCCTGGATTTTTAGCATCTCACTCCTTCCTAGAGGCAACACATAGTCTTCAAACAAATTCCCTCTTGTGTCTGAGTCAAGCAGCATTGCAAGCAGCTGATACACACAGCCTCCTCGATCCATCTTCAGGACTGCCTCTGGCATGCAGCCTTCTCAGCTCCCTCCACCCATAGGGAATTAAGTCCATAGCTTTTGCAGGCCGTTAGAATAATATTTACTGGGCCATAGTTTGTCAATAGTTATGTGCTACCAGGAGAGGACTAGAAAAATGAATACATTATTCTTCCGAGGAATGGCTTAAACATAACAGAAATAGATCCCAAAGGACATTTTTTTTTTTTTTTTTTTTTTTTTTTTTTTTTTTTTTTTTTTTTTTTCCTCTTGGATACAGCCTGCTTTTTGGTAGCCTTCCAGCAGGGGTCGCAATGGCAATGTCTTCAGCTGCCAGGCAAGGAAGGAGCAGCCTGGGTAGAACAGAAATGTGGGCTTAGAGCTAAGGTCCAACTTTGTTGCCAATGAAACCTGCATCCTAACCTTGCCAGGTTTTGTTTACTGTTTAAGATAAATTGCAGGTTCTTGTTTTACATGAAATTTACTGGCATCTGGTTCTAGCAGCTAACTCAACATGTCTAAATAGTGCATGTGGGACCAATGGAA